CAACATTTTTCCGAAAAATGGCTTTAAAACTTCATTCATCATGCGCGTAAAAGTGGATGGAGCATTGCACAAGCCAAACGGCATGACTTTCCACTCAAACAGTCCCTAGGGCGTTTTTAAAGCCGTCTTCCATTCATCTCCGGGACGAATGTGAATTTGATGGTATCCGCTCCGAAGATCCAACTTGGAGAAGATAGAAGCTCCCGACAGCTGATCAATCAACTCTTCGACTCGGGGCACCGAAAATTGGCATTTAATTATTATTTTATTTATAGCCCTGCTATCTTTGCACATTCGCCAATTTCCATCTTTTTTTGGAACTAACATTGTCAGCATTGTGCAAGGAATCACACTAGTTTGAATCACTGTTTCTCCAACAATTTATGCACCAATTCTTGTAAGATCTTCTGCTCCTTAGGATTTAGACGGTAGTGTAGTAAGTTCGGTAAGCTTGAGCTCGGTATAAAATCAATCCTGTGCTGAATGTTGCGGAGAGGCGGAAGCTCAGAAGGTAAAGTCTTCTCGTGTGATACCCGGATATTGTTGTAGAAGTTTCACAATTTCAACCAGCCACTTATTGGTGTCTATAGAGGACGTGTGTTCTGTTACTAATAAAGCATATAATGGTGCATGTTCCCTCGAGCATTGTAATAACACGGACCCGGATACTAAATGTAAAGCATTCGGACTTGAAGCTCCTGGTAGTATCTTGCTTTTGCCTGAACTGGGTAACAACCTTAATTGTCACCCCTTCCACTCGAATGCATAGACGTTGGCCCGATAGTCATACATTGTGCCGGCGTCGAATTGCCAAGTCCTTCTCAAAATAAAGTGGCAAACGTCCATTTCGATGATGTCGCACACCACCTCACACACATAGTGCTTGCCTATAGAAAAAGTGATGCGGCAATATTCTGTGACTTGGGATTTCCACACCCTTCTTAACCCAACTTATTTTGTAGGGATTGACTCCCTTCGACATTTTTAATTGTAAGTTTTGTACTACCGATCAGGATACTACATTCTCAGTACATCCACTATCGATGAGAAGTTCACACACCTTTCCCGCAATAGTACATCGGGTCCGGAAGAGGGCATGTCTTTGAGATTTCATGCTTTGTCTGGGAGCTAATAGTAACCTTTCTAGCACCGCAATCACAGGTTCCCCGTCATCCGCATAAACGTCCTCAGCCTCCCCTTCACCGTCGGAATCAACCTCTACTGATCCGCCACCTTCTTCCATCTCCGCGAAGTGTGCTTGTTTTCAATGTGGGCATTCATTGGATTTATGTCCTTGCTGAAAACAATGAAAACATTTAAAAGTAGATGATTTAGCATAGAGATTGTCTTTACCTTGAGGTCTCGTTTTCAAGTGAGTAATTGGCTCAAAAGTTGAATTTGGGAGAATTGCAGTGTTTCTATTGGGAGTAAGTATTTCGGATGACTTTCCCATAGGTGGAGAGCTTTTACTGTGACTAGATTCCTGCTCTTGCCAGTGCTTTCGGTTGTAGGTAGGTTTGGGCTGTCAGCTTTGTTGCATCTCTGCTTTCAGGGCAAAATTTACTTCCTGAGCCAAGGACCAAACCAAATTCAATTCGAGTTTATCCTGGATGCTTTCTTTGAGACCGCCAATGTAATGAGCTACCAGTTGGTTAGCCGACTCTTTCAGATTGTTCCTAGCACTCAGCCTGTTAAATTCCTCGGTATATTCACTCACCGATCTGGTCCCTTATACAAAATACTGGTAACGCATATAGAGAATTTGTTCAAAATCAGTAGGTAAAAATTGGGTTGACAATAACTGCTTCATACGAGTCCAATTACAAACCGGTCCTTTACCACCTCGTTGTCGTAATTGCAGAGTCTGCGCCCACCAAGCGGTAGCTCCTCCCTTCAACCTACATGCCACATACTTCACTTGCTTGCTTGGCTCAATCTCCATATAATCAAAGAAATTCTCGACGGCCTTTTCCCAATCGAGGTAATCCTCGATGTGTAAATGGCCATCAAAAAAAGGATATCCAATTTCACCTTGAACTCATTATGACGGTATGGCATCAGTCTGTTATGCTTAAGAATTTCAGGGTAATAAGGGTTACCGGTATCATCTTCTCCTGAATCAATAGCCGCAACATCTCTGTAAAACTGAGTTTCCTCCTCCGAATCTGAAATTTCTTGTAACAGCGTCGGGTTGTGGCGCCAATGCCATTCCGTCGCCATTCCCCTTCTCCGCAAAGGTCTAGTTGTTGCAGCAGGTAATTCACCACGGTGAATCCGCGGTGGAGGTGGTCTTGCCCTAATGAGATTGAACTCACGGTGAACTTCTACTGTCAGTCGCTGCACTTCGGCAGCGAGATCGTCGATTCGATGATTGACGCTATCCTAGTTTGCCCACAACGAATCGAGACTGCGATTCTTCAGATACTGGTGCCTTGCCGTGATCCGCCATCTCATCTCCAACTCACAATGGCTCTGATATCAATTATGATGCCACTGAGGCTCTGTGTAGAACCTGGAGGAAGAAATCGCAAGCAAAGCCAATAGAACAAGGAAAGATGGAGTTTATACGCTCCTGGTATTTGTCTATATTGATAAAGATGATAAAAACTGTGTCTGACAATTTTTGTGTGTACCACTACCTCTCCTATATGTAATACTTTTTCTAATAAGTAGAAATTACTATAAAAGTATGATGCAAAAGTAAAACAAATTATTGCAGCAGCTAAAGGAAATAGTATATGAGGTAGTGGAGAGCGTATCTTGCGGTTAGCCCATGTTGGAATGTCCCGCAGGTGTAGTGTAATGCATCACTCTAGCAATAATTTACTATAATTTTTATGAAACACAATACTCCCATTATTTAAAAAAAAAATAAATTTTTTAATAGTTTTAAATACTACCCCATATTGATTAAAATTATTATTGATCACAATTCGATTGATAAGCTCAAAAAAAAATATGATAGATAGAAATTAATTACAGGATTAATTATCGAGTTAACTCATGACTTGCTCTTCCTTTTTATCTTTTTAATCAGAGCATGAAGCCATTTCATATCAATTTAATCATTTTGCTCAACTTCTCACATTTTCTCTATTTTTTTCTTTTTTACAGGTTCAAAAATGATTCATAAAATGTTCAATCTTATTAAATAATAGATAACACAATAGCAAAATATCCCAAGATACGATCTTTTTTGTTTCTTTTTTTAATGTTTTTTTCTGGATTAATTGCAATGCCCTTGGCCAATGCCTCTAGGTAGACACCTCCGTGCTTCCCCAGCTCAAGCGAGGCCTTATCTCTAATGATCTACATCAATGAATATGGGTGTCAAAATGGGTCTTCGGGCCAGGTTCAAGTCCAACCCAAATTTGACCTGCTATCAGTTGATCCGGCTTGAACTCGACCCGTTAGAGAAACATGTCAGAAAAATGAACCGAACTAGTTTGGATTCGGGTCAACCCAAAAATAACCTAGAAACGTTATCCACGATTCCGCACTTCGCCTTGCAAGCACCATATACAACCATCTCTATCTCTACCGTCACATATGGCTTCAAATAACCATCCCCGTTGGCACATGACATGGCGAGCACGCCTTGTAACCGTGGCCTTCCACAGAAGATAACTTGACAGCCGCCGATCTCCAGCTGATCTAACTTGTGATTAATGGAGAGTGGAATGGAGGCACCTTGCTTGCACAAAACAGCTTGAGAATTGCCACAGTTGGCAACAACGATGTGCTCGGGGCCCATAACGGCGACAGCGGAAGTGGATCCAACGTGATCGAGTTTGTTCATTTTGAGTTGATTTTGGATTTTCAGGTCAATCGAAACCTAAAACAATTTTACAAAAGAGTCGGAATCTCAAACTCGAACCAAACCTGTACTGCAAACAAGTTGATCTGAACGTAAAATTTTTCGTGTCAGGTCCGAGTCGAATTTCAGGTTGGTGAATGCAAGAATGGACTGCTATAGTTGGGAGGGAATGACATGTGCTGAATATAGATGGGTCATAGGCGTCGACCTAAATAATCAGTTCATAACTGATACAATTGTTCACAACCTCTTCAATCCCAATTCTTAACTCAATCATATTTTTCAACAATGAAATATCCATTCCACATTTCAGGTGGGACCAATAAGCGTATCTTTCATGCCTCAAACTTTTCTTTGTCAAATTTATTGGGAAATTTACCTTCGGTCATAACAGCAAATTCACGTATTACCGGAAAACTTTTTGATGAAAAATTGAGAAGTTTCCTGTTAATTTGAAAAGTTTGCAGAAGATTTAGGGCAAAAAAATTTTCAACAGTAAAACGAGTGTCACAAAAATTCTCCACAGAAAAAAATTTGCCAGAAAATTTTTTTCGGTGGAATTTCTTCGCATGCCAACCCGCCTAGCAATGCTTGGTCGTCTGCCCGCATGTCAAAGCTACCTAACTGCCTTCCAATACCGAGCTACTCGGCTGCCCCGTTGCCCAGACGCTTGACTGTTAGCTCACCCCGCACTGCCCAAACGCCTGGCGGCACCCATTCCGCTGCCCAGACGCCTGCCCGTGCACGTGGCACCCATGGGATTCGAACACAACACTTTTAGGATTTCAAGTACTCAATCACTTTGATGTAGAACAAAATGTGCTATAAAGAAAACTCTTTATATTAAATGGAATAAAATAGAAAAAAAAATTTAAAATAAATTAAAATATAATATTAAAATAACTTTATTAAATTATTAATTATTAATCAATTGTTAAACTAAAAAAATTAATTATTAATTTAGCATCTTATTTTAAATATTTAAAATAATAACTCATTTAAGTTATTATTTAAGTTAATTATTAATTTAATAATTTTTTTAAAATAAATTAAAATTGGCTTACACTATGGCGTCTTCCACCATCCGACATATAACCACAGCCATGACTTGACCGGTGAGACGACTTTTATGGCTTTGTTTTTCTATTTAAAGCTGACAAATATTGTCACTTAAATCATATCTCTGCACCCTCTTTTGAATGGAGCCATTTCGTATCAACTCGCTTATCTTTCTGCATCTACTACTTCTCTCATTTTTTTTTAATGCTTTTTTTATTAACTGTAATGCTCTTGGTCAATGTATCCACACAGAGAGCTCAGCGCTTCTCCAGCTGAAGCGTGGCTTTACTTCTGCTTACCTCAATACATGGCAGCCAAGCACGAATTGTTGCATATGGGAGGGTGTGACATGTGATGAATCCTCGGGAAGGATCATAGGCCTTGATTTAAGTATTCGGTTCATGTCGGGTATGATTGATCCTAGCCTTTTCAATCTCACATCTTTACGCACTCTCAATTTTGCCGACAACCAGTTTCGTGGAATATCCATTCCAAGTGACGGGTGGGACCGTCTTGCAAATCTTTCAAGCCTCGATCTTTCTAATGCTGGATTTGCTGGGAAGATTCCCATTGGTATCTTTCGCTTGACGAAGTTGACTTTCCTTGACCTCTCCTCCTTTGATAATGGATTTGGGGGGCTTTCGCTCACTAGTAAACAAATATTTTTGCGAAACATGAGCAGCTTGAGGGACCTTCATCTTGACCTTGTAGATCTCTCGCCATACCATAATGAATTGTTTGGTGCTCTAGCCAACTTCACCTCTGCACTTGAGGTGCTAAGCATGAGATTTTGTTCCCTCTTCGGTGCTAGTTGTTGCTCCTCTTTGTCCATGCTCCCTCAATTAAATAGTCTTGACCTTACAGGCAATAATTTGGACTATAACATTCTTTATTCATTTGTCAATTTTACTTCTCTAGCTTCATTAGAAGTTTCAGGAAACCAATTCAAAGGTGTTTTTCCCAAGCAAATATTTATACTAAAAAAATTACAGTATCTTGATATCTCGTACAATCCAATGCTTTCTGGTTCTCTTCCAAAATTTTCAGAGGACAGTAAGTTAATAGCTTTATATCTTGAAGATACTAATTTTTTTGGGAATTTACCTGATACAATAGGCAACCTCAAGTTTTTAAAATATTTTAAAATCTCTGGTTGTCAATTTTCTGGGAGAATACCACCTTCAATAGGGAATCTATCACAGCTAGAGCTTTTAGATTTATCAAATAATAATCTACAAGGGCATCTTCCAAAATCGTTATTTCAAATATCAGGACTTAGTGAGCTTGAACTTGGTTTAAATAATTTTAGTGGAGACTTAGAGTTTGAGTTTATCAAGGATCTCAAGAATCTCAAATTTTTGGACCTCTCAAATAGCGGACTTTCGCTGAATTCATGGGATGTGTATAATGGATCTTTCTTATCTTCCTTTCCTATAATATCATATTTGGCAGTAGCTAGTTGCAATCTAACTAAGATCCCTACAATCATAAATTACTCACATGTGATGGATACCTTGGACCTCTCAAATAATAGAATTCATGGGGAAATACCAAGCTGGTTTTGGAGAACTTATTCAGTATTGAACTTATCTTTCAATATGTTCACGCATGTTGCAGAGCCTCCCCTTAATCTTACTACGTATAATATTGATTTTACACTTATTGATCTCAATTCCAACATGCTTGAAGGTCCAATTCCTCTTTTCCTATTAACTGAAGTTATATTGTTAGATTTCTCAAACAATCATTTCACATCTTTTATCTCTTTCAATATCACCTCACACCAAAATTCATTAAAGTATCTTTTTCTTGCAAATAATAGCTTGACTGGAGAAATCCCACCATTCATATGCAATATGACCAACTTATTAGTACTTGATTTATCGAATAATAGGTTAATAGGTTCTATTCCATCATGCTTATTGAAAGGAGTTGATCTACAAGTGCTAAAAATAAGAGGAAATCAGCTTATTGGAGCCATCCCCGATGAAATTAGTCCAAAATGTGAATTACAAATTATAGATCTCAGAGACAACCAATTAGATGGGCTGATTCCTAGGTCTCTATCTAATTGTCAATCACTTGAGATTCTGGACCTAGGGAATAATAACATAAATGACACATTTCCTTATTGGTTGGGAAATTTGTCATTTCTAAGGGTTCTTGTTTTAAGTTCTAATAAATTGCATGGGAAAGTTGGGCCTTTTGATGGAAATCTTGAAATAGATTATACTTTTTCTATGTTGCACGTCTTGGACATCTCATTCAATAACTTTAGTGGCAAATTATGTGCAGAGTGCTTCTATAATTTCAAGTCAATGACGATAGGTAAAATAGACATATCATATGACGTTACACTTGAATTTCTAAGCCAATACTATTATTTGGGTATGCTCACCATCATGAACAAGGCACAACAAATGACAATACAAAAGTTTTGGATGATCTTCAAGTCAATAGATTTTTCCAACAATTTGTTTGAAGGAGAGATTCCCATAACCATTGGCCAACTTAGCTCCCTTCAAGTGCTCAACATGTCACATAACCATTTAAGAGGTAAAATTATTCCACAACTTGGGAATTTATCACAGCTCGAGTCATTGGACCTCTCAATGAATAGCCTTTCAGGTATGATCCCAAAAGAGTTGGCTTCTTTAGATTTCTTGGAATATTTAAACCTCTCCTACAATAAGTTGGTAGGAAACATTCCAGCTGGAGGTCAATTCTCCACTTTCCCGAACACTTCATTTGAGGGAAATAACGGATTATGCTTGCTTCCATGCAATACATCAGTTCCAAGAGTGAACAGTACTATGACTTCATCAGATTTAGGAAACCGAGCTCCAAAGAATAGAAGATATATGATTATACTGGGAATATTATTTGGTGTCGGATTTGGAGGTTCAATGGCAATAGTTGTTGTGCTTGATGTCATGTGCTGTGATAGAAGAAGGAGAGGCAGGAGACCTATTGATGGATAATTTGCATGAAAAACTCTTTATAAAAGCATTGTACTAATTAGACATGTTGGCATTCATCTCAATTACATCAATATTGGGATGTACATCAATTTGAAGACCTTTGTATTCATCTACGACAATGACGACAATAATGTATTGTATATTTTACATCGTCTCAATTACATTCAATGGCAATAGTGGTTGTGCATTCATCTCAATTACATCAATATTGGCATGCTAAGCTCCATAAATAATCAAAATGAGTTAAGATATAAAAAAGATTAAACTAATTAAGCATTTCAATTCATTCATAGTTTTATTTTACACAAAAATTTTACATTTTTATTTAATTATAAATTTTTTTATCGGATGAGGAGACTTTTATATTCAAATTTATTAGATTATTGTAGCCGTGAGAAAATTATTTGTTAAAGATTTGTATGGCATGACTTTTGAATTCTTTTTCCTGTTTATATTATATTTTCTTTAAATTTTGACATTAAAGATAGTTTTTTATTATATTTTGAAAATATATTTATATTTATTTATATTAATAAGAAGGTTCACCACTCCTTAATTGTATAACAACCTGATAATTATGAAAATAATTTTAGATAAGAAAATTTTAAAAATTTTGAGCTGGAGTGCTCTGGCATTGAGTATTTCACCGCTCTAGTGCCCTAGTCTCATGAAAATTCAAAAATAAATCAACGTGGCAATACTAATATTTTGACGCTGTGGTGCCATGAACCGACACGTGGGAATGGATGTTATATATATAATCCTAAACCTAAAGCACTAAGCTATTCCACCCCACCTATTCATATTAGTATTGGACAATTACGATCCCAAAATTCTAACTTGTACCGCGATGTACAAATTCCTTAAGGATTTTCACCAGCTTCCAAAAATTACAAAAAAAAAAAAATTCGTGTCAGTAAAATGCTACAATCAAAATACTATTGCGAAGACGAATTTGAATTTAGAGTTATAATAACTCTAATTATTAAAAAAAAAACTTTAAATTTTCTTAATTTAAATATAAATCTATATTTGTTGATATATATAGGCATAAATGCCTCCAACCGTAGTGCCACAATAATAGCCACAAATATTATTCTATTATATTTAATGAGAGAAATAAATATCTTATTAAATATATCATAAATTTGACACGTGGGACCCAACAAAATAAAAAATTTGTCATGATAAACTAACCCAACATTTTGGTAATAATAATAATAAGAAATTTCATTTTTATGAGAATTAATATTAAACAAGTATTCTGATGCAATGTGGGATAAATAAGAAAATAAATATTAGATGTAATAATTAATTTTCTAGTCTTTTATTCCAGTAAAGTAGAATCTTTTAGGTTCATTAACAATTTAATCTTATAATTAGCTTAAAATTATTTAATTTGATCCAATGACTAACCCTCGTTATAAGCCAGTTTTATAACCTGTTGAGGATAAACGCATTTGAATACAATTGTTTTCTATCAAAATTTCCTTTTTTATCTAATTTTATATAGATCAAATGAAATACAATGATACCACAATATTTGCGTAAATTCTGAGAATATATATATATATATATATATATATATATTAGGGAAACCCATGGAGAGGCCTACGCGTTAATATAGAGAAAAATTTCAGAGCCCTCAAAAGGACCTCGGGCTCACTAATGCTCAAAAGAGCCACAAAAAGAAAAGCAAAAATACTAGGAGCACAAGGTCCTTACTGATAAGATACCTGCAAAGGTTAGTAAAGCAGAGAAACTTGAAGAAGAAGAAGATAATGAGCTGGAAGAGCTGTATTTCCTTCATCTCTCGGCCATGTACAGTAAGTGAGTTCTATAGAGGACTAGGAGACAAGTCGTTGGAATATCAAAGAGGTGTTGGAGGTCAGAGCCAGACCACTGGTGACAGAGGTCGTGTGAAGTGCTGCAGTCGGTGTGATGAGCCGAAGGAGGTATATGGAATACCTTAACACCCCCCGCAAGCTGATCATCTGATCTGCAGATGGTCAGTTTGGTCCGTAGTTCGGAGAACCGCTTGCCGGTAATGGGTTTGGTAAGTATGTCCGCCGGTTGATCGGCGAAATTGATGTGAGCAACCTCTATCGCTTTGCGGTTAATATGATCACTGATAAAATGGTGATCTATTTCAATGTGTTTGGTCCTCGCATGAAATATGGGGTTGTTAGACAAGGCGATGGCAGAGATGTTATCGCAGAAAATCGTCGTTGGGGCTGACTGCGAGGCGTGGAAATCATGAAGAAGCCGACGGAGCCAGATCACGTCAGAGGTAGCTGCCACTAGAGCTCTGTACTCCGCCTCTGTTGACGATTTGGCGACAATTGACTGCTTTTTAACGCTCCAGGAGATGAGGTTGGGACCGAGATACGAGCAGAACCCTGTAATTGACTTCCGATCATCGGTGTTTGATGCCCAGTCTGCATCAGAATAGGTTGTGAGCGTTAGAGGCCCAGTGGTGATCGGCAAGCCATAATCTTGTGTGCCTCTGATGTACCGTAAAAGACGTTTGAGTCTCTTGAAGTCGGATGTCGTGGGACAGTGCATGTGCTGACATATGACATTGGTAGCGAAGGCGATATCCGGCCGGGTTATGGTAAGATATTGAAGGGAGCCTGCTATTTGTCTGTAGAAGGTGGGATCTTCATGGGTTGCCGTTGCTGTCTTTGTTTTGGACTCCTTTGGTGAGATCGGTGTGTTGACCGGTTTGGAGGAGTCTAGGCCCGCTGACTGCAGAATGTCTCTAGCATAATGGGACTGAGTGAGAAAGAGACCTGCTGATCTGGGCTGAATTTGAATGCCGAGGAACAGACTGACTGTATCCATTTGTTTGAGGGAAAAGGTTTGTCGGAGGCGAGAGAGTAGATGCTGGAGGGTTGGTTGATGGTTGCCGGTTAGGAGCAGGTCATCAACTTAGGCAAGCAGGCAGAGGTGAATGTCCTGTTTGTTGTAGACGAGCATGGACGGATCAGCTTTGCTGAATTGGAAATCAAATGTGAGGAGGAACGACGTCAATTTGTGGAAACATTGACGCGGATCTTGTTTAAGTCCATAGATGGCCTTCTTAAGTTTGCATACATGAGCGGGATGCTTGGGATCAATGAAGCCAGGGGGTTGTTTCATGTATACATCCTCTTAGAGGTCTCCATGAAGAAAGGCATTGTTGATGTCCAGCTGATAGATGGGCCAGCCACGATGAAGAGAGATGATGAGCAGCACCTGAATAGTGGGCATTTTGGCCACGGGGCTGAAGGTTTGCTGATAGTTGATCCCTTTCTGTTGGGTGAAACCTTGAGCAACCAGTCTGGCTTTATAGCGGGCAATGCTGCCATCGGGATTGTGCTTTGTCTTGTAAGTCCACCGGCAGCCAAGTATAGGTGTGTTCGGTGGTGGAGAGGTAAGGCACCATGTACCCTGTTTTTGGAGCGCCATGAACTCAGTCGACATCGCTTTTCTCCAGTGGGATAGTTTGACGGCCTCATTGTAGCTGGACGGAGTGTGACTCGCATCTGTAACAGCAAGTAGATCGAGAAATTTTCATGGTTTAAGATGACCGGTTTGGAGGCGAGTTTGCATGGGATGTTTGCGAGCGGGAGGAGGTAAATTTGAAATTTGTGTGGGGGTGGGAATAGTAGTGGATGGTACAGGAGAGAGATTGGGTGTGGGTTGTTCGGGGTTATTCGTTGAGGGGGAAATTGAAGGTGTTGGTGGAGTGGGAGATTGAATGGAGGTTGGTATTAGGAGGAGAGGAGGAGTATAGATGGTATCAGGTGTTGTGGAGTTGGTGGGAGGTGTCTTGGCGGGAAAGTGATGTTCATCGAACGTAACATGCCGGGAAATGTAGAGTTTTTTACTGTGTGGGTAGTAACAACGGTAACCTTTGTGCGAGCTGGAATATCCTAGGAAGATACAGTGAGTGGAACGTGGTTCAAGTTTGTGGGATGTCTGCGGTTTTAACCAGGGAAAGCAGGAGCAGCCGAATACTCTGAGATGAGTGTAAGAGGGAGGGATGCCGTGTAGTAATTGGAAAGGAATCTGGTTATTTAGCGAGGTGGTGGGTAGACGATTAATGAGGTAATTTGAAGTTTGAACCGCTTCAGCCCAGTAGGTGGCAGGAAGGGAGGCAGCGTGAAGGAGCGTTCGGGTTGTTTCGAGGAGGTGACGATGTTTCCTCTCGGAGACACCGTTTTGCTCCGGTGTGTATGGACAGCTAAACTCATGGTGTATGCCTCGATTGCTTAGGAAGATTTGAAAGTCATGACTGGTGTATTCCCCACCTGCATCGGATCTTAAAGTTTTAATGGATGTATTGAATTGAGTTTGGATGAGTTTATTGAATTGTTGAAACTTAATGGCTGATTCATTTTTTGTGTGCATTAAATAGAGCCAGCAGAATCTTGTGTGGTCGTCGATGAAGACAATGTAATATCGAAATCCAGAGAGAGAAGGAACGGGGGAGGGACCCCAAACGTCTGTGTGTATTAAGGTAAAAGCGGTAGTTACATGAGCTGCCTGTTTTGTAAAAGGCAGTTTGTGGCATTTCGCCAGCTTACAAGAAAGACAAGTAAAATCTAAAACTTAGAGCTAATGCTAGGTAGAAGCTTGGATAGGCTGGTCATCGAACGAAGATGGGGATGACCCAATCGAGAACGCCACAGTAATGTGTTGGTCGCCGTGGTGGATAGAGCGCGAATGGAGGAGGAGTGAGCGAGGCGGATGGGATAGATGCCGTCTTGATTACGACCATGGAGCAGAGTGGTGTTGTCCTGGAGGTCCTTTATAGTGAATCCATTGGAATCAAAGAGAATAGAGCACTTGTTATCCTTGGTTAGTTTGGAGGTAGAGAGCAGATTATAAGCTAGAGAGGGAACATGAAGTAGATTTGTGAGTTTGAGCTTACGGTTAGGATCGGGTAGGGGAAGGATGCCGGCGCCGGTGTGGTGAATGGGGAGGGATGAGCCACTTGCTGTAGAGATGGAGTCTTGTCCGTGATATGGGGAGGAGAGCTACAGGTTGGCGATGTTCGGTGTCAAGTGCGTGGGGGCGCCTGAGTCGAGCACCCAATCGGTAGTCGTTGTAGATGGCGTTTGAGTGACGAGAGCTCGGTTGGAGGTGGGAGATGGAGTATAACTGGATTTGTATCTGTGCCAGCAGGCCGAGGCAATGTGTCCAGTTTTTCCACAGATCTGGCAGACAGGTCTTTCTGTGCTTCGGGGTGTTGTAGATGAGTTCTTGGTGGTGATGTTGTTGGTACTGAAGGTAGTTCCCCTGCCATGATTTCCTCTGTAGTTGGAGTTGCGTCCTCGTCCTCTAGAGGCGTATAATGCCTGTGGCTCCGGCGAGGAGGCGGGATTTTGCTGAAGTTCATTTTGCAGATTGGTTTCTTCACTACAAAGTAGTGAATAGAGAGATTCAAGAGTAACGGGCAGAGGAGAGGTTCGAATAGCGGCTTTGAATGGGTTGTATGAGGCTGGTAAGCCTTTCAGTGTATAGAGGATAATATCCTCGGTTTCAATGTGGCTGCCGGCAGCAGCTATGTTGTCTACCAATGCTTTGATTTTGGATAGATATTGAGAGATGGATTGATCTCTCATTTGGACATTGTGTAGTTCATTCTTCAGCTAATGACTCTTGACCTGCTTGTAGGTTGAAGACGCAGCTCCAATGCCGTCCAGATCTCGTGTGAAGTTTGAAGCTGTAGGATGTAGGGAAGTACAGAGGGAGATATTGTGGAGAAAAGTGCTGAGACAAGATTCCTGTCTACAAGTTTCCAGAGTTTATGATCAGCATTGTCGGAGTCAGAGGATTCAGTTGGACAGGGTAATGAACCGGTAAGGTATTCTTCAAAGCCGTTAGCGGCAAAGGCCTGGTAGATCTGTAACCTCCAGATAGGATAGTTGTCTATGGTAAGCTGCGTGTGTATGGGCAGCTTGAGGCTCTACATCAGAAACTTCAGAGGTGGAGGAATGACGACGGCTTCCATTGATGAAGACAGAGAGGGCGTCGTCTGCGACTGTGTGGAGGAATCTTGTTCCGTCATCGTGCTGAGAGAGTCCAGGTTTACTGCTCTGATACCATGAAAAGATACCTGCAAAGGTTAGTAAAGCAGAGAAACTTGAAGAAGAAGAAGAGAATGAGGTGGAAGAGCTGTGTTTCCTTCATCTCTCGGCAATGTACAGTAAGTGAGTTTTATAGAGGAGTAGGAGACAAGTCGTTGGAATATCAGAGAGGTGTTGGAGGTCAGAGCCAGACCAGTGGTGACAGAGTTCGTGTGAAGTGCTGCAGTTGGTGTGATGAGCCGCAGGAGGTATATGGAATACCTTAACACTTACTACCAAAAATTACAAAATAACTTAGGGACATTCTACGATGCTTGAGAACAAATACCCAAAAAAGGAGAGAAACCAAAAAACTAGCACTCAGTAACAGCTCCCCAGCCAGAAACCGATCAACCTCTTCACCTGCTAAAACAAACCTGCAAGGAAAACCACCAACAACGACAGCCAATGCTAGAGTAGGAAACATTAGTAAAGTAGTATACCCCATAAAAAACATAATGATAAAAACATTCAAAGAACAATAATAGAAAGAAGAATTGAAACACCTCCAATCGAACCTGTTAATAAAGAGATGCGGTAGCTTAAGTAAAAATCCAATAAAGATCACAGAGCCCCAATAATTCCTACTAATCAAAGTGATATGCAACAGCTTAACAATATTGAAATAAGCACACCCAGAATATCGAGAACACAAGTTCCAGCCAAACAGAACAACAAAGAAAAGCTGCAGGATAGCAAAACAAAAGCTGCCCAGCACAGTCAACACACCCAACCAACACCTCCACCTGACAGAAATCTGAAAAAAGAACCGATGAACAGAAACCAAATTAAACACAGAAGGATAAACCAGATACCCAAAAAACAATAGAAACCGAAACCTCTGGAGCAGAAGATCAACACACCACCACCAGAGAACATAAACCAAATAAAGCAACACACTGAGGCATAACATAAGGGACATTAGCCTTCTCCAAACTCAAAAGACCCTTAACAAAAGAGGGTAAGAAAAAAAATGGAGATGTCAGCCATAATATTAACATTGTCCCTTCCCAATTGGCCAAAGCCTGAACCACCACATTCTCGTTCACCTCAATCACAGAAAAGGACAGATTGAGCCTCTTAATTAAGGCCACCAACTCACGCCTAATGTAAAAGAGAGAAGAGGCACAACATTTGTCTTTCCTAAAGTCCAAAGACTGAATATTAAAATTATTAGCCACCTCCACCACAACATTAAGACAATTAAGCTTGTAGCAAAAATTCAAACCATAATAGATAGCATAAGTAATGGCAAAGCTTCTATTTTTACAATTAAAAGGACCCACAAAACAAAAAAAAACTCACCTTGATGATCCCTAAGCACACCTGCACAATTATACATAAAATCTCTCATAGAACAATCCACATTCAATTTCAAAAAATCCTTGGGAGGCCATATCCAGTAAATGCTTTTAGAAGAGTCATGCTTAGGCCTAAAGGAGTTCCAGGCATCTAAAATTACAAAAGAGCCATCATTAGAGAGGGAAGATAGCTGAACATCATTAGTAATACAGTTTAGAGGAATTTGTAAAATACGTTGGACCAACAAATCAGGGATGACCCTAGAAAGTTTATTAATATCCCAAATATTGTTAATAAAAAAAATGATTCACCTTAACAGCCTCCATAGAGCAAGAATTAAGAAAGGAATCCACAAAAAAAAACATCCAACCACCAGTCCTGCCAAAAATAAATATTGCCTTTGCCCAGACCCCAAACCACAAAAGGTTCCACCTGCCATTTAACAGAACAAAGCCATTTCCAAACCATTGAGTTACCATTATTAAAGACACACAAGGTAGGATGAGTCTCACCACAATACTTAGCAACCATAAAATTAGCCCAAAGATAATCATTGCCCCAAAATTTATGCCAAAGTTTAAAAGAAAAGGCAGTAGCCAAATCCAACAAAGTTTTACAATCCAAACCCGTTTCTTTCAAAGGGCCACAACATTTAGACCAAGAGGCCCAATGAATTTTAGCATTGCTACCAGTACCTTTTCAAAAAAACTTATTAATGATTTTATCAATCCTCTTACACACCGACATAGTAGGGAATAAAGTTTGAAAAGTATAGACAGGGATAGAATAAAGAACACTTTTAATAAGAGTAAGATGACCTCCAAAACTTAAAAAATTAACCTCCAAAGAGGAAAGTCTAGTCATAATCACAGAAACTAAACCATCAAACAAGAAGAATGTTTCTCTCCCTTTATAAAAAGGAACAACCAAATACTTAAAAGGTAAATTACCAAAGCTAAAGCCATTCCTATTCTTAATAGCCAAAACACGAGCAGGAGAAACTTTCTTAGCCACATTGAAGAAACACTTATGCTTGTTCAAAGACAA